TTTTTTATGTGGTTTCTTTAGAACCACTTCACTCTATCACTTTTTTCTTTGTTCTATATCGCTCTCCTTCAACTCAAGACTGCACTCATCTTGATGTTATTTCTGATCATATTGACCAAGCCCTCTCTCTTTATCCATCAGCCAATATTGCTGTTGTTGGTGAATTTAATGTTCATCACACTGAATGGCTTGGCTCTAGTATCAGTGACTCTGCCGGCATTAAAGCCCACAACCTTTGCCTTTCTCAATCCCTAACTCAAATAGTTAACTTTCCAACTCACTTTTCATACAACCCAAATCATTTACCTTCTCTACTCAACTTATGTCTTGTTTCTGATCCTAGTCAGTGCTCAGTATCTCCACACTCAACCTTAGGTGCTTACGATCATGGTTCTTCTTTATCATCAGAAACCCCCTATCATCGTACATCTTACAACTACCTTAAAGCTGACTGGGACTCTTTCCGTGATTTTCTTGGTGATGGCTTTTGGGTAGAAATCTTTCGTCTCCCTGTTGACAAATGTGCTTCTTACATAACTTCAAGGATTCAGGCTGGCATGGAATCCTTTATTCCCTCTCGACGATTCCAGGTCAAGCCTCACTCTTCTCCATGGTTTCCCTCACGTTGTGCTGCTGCAATTGCCAATGGAAACCATTACTTCCATATCTATCAGCAAAACAATTCTCCAGAAAACAGACGTCTGTTTATTACTGTTAGGAACCATTGTGAAAAGGTTTTGTCTAACGCCAAAGCCCGCTATTCTCAGATCATGAAATCTTGTATTTCATCACAAAAATTAGGCTTTTGTGATTTCTGGATAATCTTTAATAGTATCAATAATAAGGGCAAGTCTGTAATTCCACCTCTTATGTATGGTTCAGACTTTGTCACCTCACCTAAAGACAAAGCTGAATTGTATGCAAAGAACTTTTCATCAATGTCATCTCTTGATTCCACTAGTTGCATTCTACCTGATATAGACATCAAACAGTTTGATTCATTGCTCGACATCCATATCACTCCAGCTTCCGTATCTAAAGTGATTTCCTGCTTAGACTCTTCTACAGCTTGCGACCTGGACAACATACCTGTAATAGTTTTGCAGAAGTGTTCTCTGGAGCTGTCGTCTATACTTTCAAAACTATTTAACAATTGCTTATCAGAGTCTTGTTTTCCAGCCTGCTGGAAAGCAGCATCTGTTATCCCTATTTTAAAAAATTCTGGAGAGCGATCTGACTCATCTAACTACCGTCCCATTAGTCTTCTTCCTATCATAAGCAAGGTTTTTGAATCTTAAATTAACAAACACTTAATCTCTCATCTTGAATCTCATAACCTACTTTCTGATCATCAATATGGATTTCGATCTTCTCGTTCTACGGCTGATTTGCTAACAGTAATAACCGATCGGTTTTATTGCGCATTAGATAAAGGTGGAGAGGTTAAGGCCATTGCTCTTGACATTTCTAAAGCGTTTGATAAAGTTTGGCATGCTGGTCTCCTCCATAAGCTTTCTTCTTACGGTGTATCTGGAAACATCTTTAAGATTATTGAATCCTTTCTTTCCAATCGTAGTATAAAAGTTGTTCTTGATGGACAGCACTCTTCTTCTTATTCTGTAACCTCAGGGGTTCCCCAAGGTTAAATCCTTGGCCCTATACTCTTTTTAATTTACATTAACGATCTTCCAGATATTCTCTCATCTAAGATGGCATTGTTTGCTGATGATACTACCATTTATTCTTGTCACGATAAGAAGCCAACTTCCTTTGATTGCTTGCAGGGGACATTTGAGCTTGAAAAGGATCTCACTTCTGCTACAGCATGGGGCTCACAGTGGCTGGTGAACTTTAATTCAGATAAAACTCAATTTTTTTCAGCCAATTGTTATCGCAATAATTCAGACCTTCCTATATTTATGAACGGTAATGTGCTAGATGAGTTGTCTACCCTTCATCTTCTAGGATTAACTCTTACTTCCGATCATGCTTGGAAACCATATATCAAATTTGTTGCAAAATTAGCATCTGCTAATGTTGCATCTCTTTATCAAGCTTGACACTTTCTTACTCTGGATTCTATTCTCTATCTCTATAAATCTCAAATCCGGCCTTGTATGGAATACTGTTGCCATATCTGGGGCAGATCTTCTAATGATGCCCTTTCTCTTTTAGACAAGGTGCAAAAACGCATTTTAAACATAGTTGGACCTGCTCTTGCAGCCAACCTTCAACCTTTGTCACATCGTCATAATGTTGCATCTCTTTCTCTTTTCTGCAAATACTATAATGGGCACTGCTCTAAAGAGCTAGTGTCTCTTGTGCCATCTACTGAAATTCATTCTCACGTTACTCGTCATTCAATTAAGTCTCATCCTTTTTCTGTTACTGTTCCTAAGTGCTCCAAAAACTCTTATTCATCTAGTTTTTTTCCTCGAACATCAGTTCTTTGGAATTCACTTCCTTTATCTTGCTTTCCTGATTCATATAATTTACAATCTTTTAAGTCGTCTGTCAATCGTTATCTTGCTCTACAATCTTCATCTTTTCTCTTCCAGTAACTTCCAACACTAATCAGTGGTTGCTTGCAGCCTTGTTGGAAGCAAAGATGTAAAAAAATTAAAAAAATAAAAAAATTGCGGAAAAAAACATGTGGAAAAGGAGGAATTTTTCGCAGATGCGGTTTAAAGTTGAATGCCTAGCCAGATAAGAAACATTGGCATCAAAGAAGGCATGAACTTCCTAGCTTAACGCTCTTCCCATGATGCTATGTGACTTAGTCATTTTGTCTTGGAGCACTTTAACAACTGACTAAAAAATGTTTTTGTAAAAAATGTTCTTGTAAAAGTCAAATTTGATTATGTCTATATATAAATTATACATTTAACTTTAAGTAATCTCATAATTTTGGACTATTTTTTACATCCAACTCATGGAGTTTTCAAAAATTAACACGGATATAAAAAAACTGTTTATAACACAATGGTTTGTTATAAATTATAGAATGGTATACTAAATAAATAGACATGCACTATGGAGGAATTTTTCATTTTGAAGAACTTATAAAATTGTCAAAGAATTGTAAAAAAATTGTAAATTAAACAACCTTCTATTTGTTGTGTAAACTTTAAAGTATATTACGAATATCAAAGTGCTATTGCAAATGATTAAAAAATTTAGGAATGGTCCAGGTTTGTCTATTATTGTTTTCAGAGTCAATTTATAAGTAACCTGCGATTTACTTCTTATCAAATACTTATATGCAACAAACACGAAACCATAAGTAAGCAATTTAACAATAAAAAAAATAGTAAAATTGCTCTTTGTTGCAGTAAAATTAGGAGACAGAGAAAGAAAAACACAATTAAGGAGACACAATTAAATCTAGTTATCATTATAGATATACATTAGGGTAATTCACCCCCCCCCCCATGTGCTTTAATTAAACCTGAAAATGTTTAGTGATAGCAGATTTAAATTAAAGTTCAAGATTGGGGGTTGCCCATAAATTACGCAAGCCATTTAGAGAGAAAGAGGGGGGGGGGGAGAGGTTTGTGATGACTCATTTATTACTAATGAGTTACGATGTTGTGATGAGGGAGGGGTCTACAACAGTTGATTTGTGGATGACCCCTCGACACAATTTTTTAAAATTTGTCTATAATCTGGAGAAACTTGAAATTATCAGTTTGAACCTACTAGAATATTAACTGTAGTATTAAATTAATTAATGTTTTTCTTTCCTTATATTATTCATACAGAAAATCTGATAATATATTATTTTTAATAAAATAAACAGTTTTATCCAAAATAGGCTTTTTTTTTAAAAAAATCAACTACTGTTGTTTGTGGCCTTTTTAATAACTTATTCAAGCTTTTTTTTAGATAATATATAAAAATTTGAAGATTGAAAAATTAGGAGGGTAAAAATAGCTTAATCAAAAGTTCAAAATATTTTATACAAGACACTATTCCTATTAAATCCGACAATTCGATTCCTAGATTCTAAGATTCCTATTAAATTAAATTTCCTATTAAATCCGACAATGATAAACAAGGATATACAAGGAGATTAAAGACAATTGCTCTTTAAGTATTTTTATGTTTTATTGCAAACTTCAACACAAATACTAAAAAAGAGGCTGCAAATTGAAACAGTTAAATTAAATCTACCATTTTTAGTTTTTAGACATAATTTAATGAGTTAAAAAGTTTGACCCATAAAAATACACAAGAATGTGGCCAGAATCTCATTGTTTTTGCAAAATTTTCTTACTTTGCAAATTTGTAGTAAAGGACTCTGATGTGTTTTGCTGATCAAAACTGAGAGTTTTTATTTTGATATTAACTATTACTTACTTGATACTACTAGTAGACAAATTACTATCAAAGCTCCTTCTGTGCCAACCCGCAACTAAATTGGTTTTCCTTCTCCTGGGTCATGACTAATTGTTTGAAGTGTCATGTTTAAAGAAAGTAAGCAGTTTATATAAATGGCCATTTACCAAGTAGATGTATTGAAGAATCACTTAAAATTAAAATCAATAAAAAATGGTTTGTGTTTAAAACACAAACCATCTTTACTTAAGATAGTCCATAGTATAATGGAAACTAGTTTTCAGGTGGCCAGAATAGATAACATAAAGAAAAATTCAGTTATGGAAAAACCTCCAATAATTATCTTAATTTAAGCTTAAATCTTGAAACTTGAAATGAATTAATTTCATACTCAGAATACTTGTAAAAGTTATTTTTTTTGATAAAAGGAAAATGATGCTACAAGTTTTTTTTTCTTAGGAATTGAAGTATCAAACGCAACATACAACTTTATCAGACAAACAATAACATTAATCCTAGTATTTCATATAAGACAAAAAAAAAATTAAATAAAACAAAAATGCTTTGTTATTATTTATGGAATCGACATAAAAACAAGGATTTTCAATGATTTTGATTGTTTTGTTTTTGTTTTTTTAAATTAAGTGAAAAAAAAAACCTACAGAAAGTTCCAAAGGAGTTGGCCGTTCTTTAGGGTTTTTTTTCAGACTAAAGAAATTTAATTAAAAAAAACATTTGAATAGTGGAACAGAAATGAAAACATAAAATATATAAAATAACGAAACAGAAAATAGCAAAAACAAATAGAAATATTCTTTTTTTAACACACTAACCAACTCTCCACAAATTCCCTGAGAGTGTCATCAAATAGTTCAGTGGAAAGACTCGGGGGTTGCTATAAATAAATAGATATATATTATATATATTTTATATATATATATATATATAATATATATATATATATATTATATATATATAATATATATATAGTATATATATATACATATATATATATATATATATATATATACATATATATATATATATATATAGATATATATAAATATATATATATATATATATATGTATATATATATATGTATATATATATATATATATATATATGTATATATGTATATATACATATATGCATATATATATATTTATATACATATATATGTATATATATATATATATATATATATATATATATATATATATATATATATATATATATATATATATATATATATATATATATATATATATATATATATATATATATATATATATATATATATATATATACTACACACTAAGGTTCATAATTTTTTAAATAATTATACTAAGTTATCAATGTTTCAGTTACTATAAAGAGAGAAACTAAAAACAAAAAATGTCTAAAATGTATGCCAAAATACTACTAAGTTAGCAGCAACAACCGTTTTATATACTTTTGGCATTCAACATGATAACTTTAAAAATTTCTTGGACCCAACAAATGCAAGATTTGGAAGAGAAGTTTAATAGAATTTAAAGAGAAGACCAGCTGAAATGCTGGTCTTCTCTCTAAACTTCCAAATATACTTTTGTTATTAATGTCAAGTAAAACACACACAAAACTATCCCAAACCATACTTCAATCAATTGATTCTTTACTGTTGACACAGATACTTGTATTTCTAGACAACTATTTTAACTATGGGCTAATTTTGAAGCAGTTAATAATTTGTTTCTATTAATGGTACTAATGGTAGTAACTTTTATATATTTGGTGCTAGATGTAATTTGTCACTGACCCAATAATTTTCTATTAACCACACTTTCAGCAACCACTAATTGAGAAATTAAGGACTTTTTTTTTTTTTTTTTTTTTTTCGAACATCTTTGCTCCCAACAAGGCTGCAAGCAACCACTAGTTAGAATAAAAAGTTACTGGAAGAAAAAAGATGAAGATTGTAGAGCAAGATAATGATTGACAGACAACTTAAAAGATTGCAAATTATATGAATCAGGAAAGCAAGATGAAGAAAGCAAATTCCAAAGAACTGATGTTTGAGGAAAAAAACTAGAGGAATAAGCGTTTTTAGAGCACTCTGAAACAGTCACAGAAAAAGAATGAGACTTAATTGAATGGCGAGTAACACAAGAACATATTTTAGTAGCTAGGACAGGAGACACTAACTTTTTAGAGCAGTGCCCATCATAGTCTTTGTAGAAAAGAGAAATAAAAGCAACATTACGATGATGTGATAATGGTTGAAGGTTGGCTGCAAGAGGATGTCCAACTATGTTTACAATGCATTTTCGCACCTTGTCTAAAAGAGAGAGGGCATCATTAGAAGATACGCCTAAAATATGGCAACAGTCTTTCATACAAGGACGGATTTGAGATTTATAAAAATAGAGAACAGAATCCAGAGTAAGAAAGTGTAGAGCTCGATAAAAAGATGCAACCTTAGCAGATGCTAATTTTGCAACGGATTTGATTTATGGTTTCCAAAATAGATCTAAAGTAAGAGTTAATCCTACAAGATGAAGGGTAGATGACTCATTGAGTATACTACTGTTCATATATATAGGAAGGTCTAAATTATTGCGATAACGATTAGCTGAAAAAAATTGAGTTTTATCTAAATTAAAGTTAACCAGCCACTGTGAGCCCCATGCTGTAACAAAAGTGAGATCCTTTTCAAGCTCAAATACCCCCTCCAAGCAATCAGATAGTGTTGGCTTCTTATCATGATAAGTATAAATGGTAGTATCATCTGAACAATGCCACCTTAGATGTTAGAATATCTGGAAGGTTGTTAATGTAAATTAAAAAGAGTATAGGGCCAAGGATTAAATCTTGAGGAACCCCTAAACATTACAGAATAATAAGAAGAGTGCTGTCCATTGAGGACAACTTTTATACAACAATTAGAAAGGAAAGATTCAATAAACTTAAAGATGTTTCCAGATACACTGTAATAAGAAAGCTTATGGAGAAGACCAACATGCCAAACTTTATCAAACGCTTTAGAAATGTCAAGAGCGATGGCCTTAATCTCTCCACCTTTATCTAATGCACAATAAAACCGATCAGTTATTACTGTTAGCAAATCAGCAATAGAACAAGAAGATCGAAATCCATATTGATGATCAGAAAGTAGGTTATGAGATTCGAGATGAGAGATAAAGTGTTTGTTAATTAAAGATTCAAAAACCTTGCTTATGATAGGAAGAAGACAAATGGAATGGTAGTTAGACGAATCGGATCGCTCTCCAGAATTTTTAAAAATAGGGATAACAGATGCTGCTTTCCAGCAAACTGGAAAACAAGACTCTGATAAGCAATTGTTAAATAGTTTTGAAAGAATAGACGACAGCTCCAGAGAACACTTCTGCAAGACTATTACAGGTATGTTGTCCAGACCACAAGCTGTAGAAGAGACTAAGCAGGAAATCACTTTAGATACGGAAGCTGGAGTGATAAAAATGCCAAGCAATAGATCAATCTGTTTGATGGCTATATTAGGTAGAATGCAACTTTTGGAATCAAGAGATGATATTGATGAAAAGTTCTTAGCAAACAATTTAGCTTTGTCTTTAGGTGAGGTGACAAAGTCTGAACCATACGAGGGAGGTGGAATAACAGATTTGCCACTGTTATTGATACTACTAAAGATCCTCCAAAAGTCACAAGAGCCTAATTTTTGTGATGAAATACAAGATTTCATGACCTGAGAATAGCGGGCTTTGGTGATAGACAAAACCTTTTTACAATGGTTTCTAGCAGCAATAAACAGATGTCTGTTTTCTGGAGAACTGTTTTGCTGATAGATATGGAAGTAACAATTTCGATTGGCAATTCCAGCAGCACAATGTGAGGAAAACTATAAAGAAGAGTAAGGCTTGACCTGGAATCATCGAGAGGGAATAAAAAATTCCATGCCAGCCAGAATCCATAAAGTTATGTAAGAAGCACATTTGCGAACAGGAAGATGAAAGATTTCAAGGGCCATCATGAAAACAATCACGGAAAGAGTCCCAGTCAGCTTTAAGGTAGTTGTAAGATGTACAATGATAGCGGGATTCTGATGATAAAGAAGAATGAGATAATAGTTTTAGTGAGATCAAACTATGATCAGAAGCACCTAAGGGTGAATGTGGAGAAACTGAGCACTGACTATGATCAGAAACAAGACATAGGTCAAGTAGAGAAGGTAAATGATTCAAGTTGTATGGAAAACGAGTTGGAAAGTTGACTATTTGAGTTAGGGATTGAGAAAGGCAAAAGTTGTGGGCTTTAATGCCGGCAGAGTCACTGATGCTAGAGCCAAGCCATTCAGTGTGATGAACATTAAAGTCACCGACAACAACAATATTGGCTGATGGAAAAAGAGAGAGGGCTTGGTCATTATGATCAGAACTAACATCAAGAAGAGTGCAGTCTTGAGATGAAGAAGAACGATATAGAACAAAGATAAAGGTGATAGAGTGAAGTGGTGCTAAACGAAAGCACATAAAAGAGTAGTCTTTGTATTCAAACCTAGTTTCCCAACAAATGGGTGAATTCTTACGAATGTAAATCCCTAGGCCAAGCGTGTGACTACAGGAGTTTTTACAACTTAAAAGAAGATAAGCATCAACACTGAGATCACAAGATGAGGCAGATGAACTCAAATTAGTCTCACAAAGAGCAAGTAGCTCTGTTGAACTTTGCAAGAGATAAGACTCAACAGAAGAAAAGTTACTTTGAAGACCACGAATATTAGTGAATGATTTAGAGAATGATTCACTAATATATTAATATTGCCCCAAATGAATGATTAGGAGGTTTAGAGAACTTAGTGATAAAAATGGGTTTTTTTTGTTTTTTAGTTTTGGACTTTATTCATTTTTAAATTTGTTAAAGAACTTAACTCAAAGCATAGATAGTACTCAGTACACTATTTAATAGCCCAAGAAATTGCCTCATTGCTATTAATATACCCTAAGCATATCAATAGTACAAACAGGGACGCCATCCATGCACAACATGGCACTATTAATACTTTGATATTTTTCAGCAGTTGATGGAATCAGCCTCTCTGAGAGCTACCACAGAGTTCGGGAAACCTGACTACCAGCTGGCCTCAGAACCATAAAACTGAATTTTAGAACTGTACCCTCATTTTATCGAGACACCATCTCTAGTCTTTACTCAACTAAGAGCTCCAAGGCAGGTGTTGTTTTTAAAGTCGGAGTTGGCATTTTCTTGCCTTTGCCTAAAAAGACGTATCCTACAAGGCAGCAGGACATGAGCAGGACACTTAAACCTAATTAACAGAAAATAAAGATCACCTTGTAGGATACGTAAGTTAAAGAGCAAGAACGCAGTTGATTTTAAAAACTGAAAAACATAAATTTATAGTTAATATTAAAGGAGGTAATGTTAATGGAGAGTGCTATACATTAAAGACAATTTCAATGCTGTGGTTAGAAAGGAATGATTCATTAATTTGAAAAACGATTCCAGGTATGTCATATAAAGCTAGCTTATGGAGAAGACCTGCATCCTAAACTTAATTGAAAGTTTTTGCACAGTTTTTAAAAATTGGAACCATAGATGATTTTTCAAAAACAAGATTCATATTCAAACAAAAACTTGTTAAATAGTTTATAGCTTTATGAATAGAATTCTGGAAAACATTTAAGAAAATTAAGGAGAACATTTATCAAAATTCTGCAGAATATTTATCAAAATATTCTTGAGAATATTTGTCAAAATTAAGGAGAACATTAATCAAAATTCTGGAGAACATTTATTGAAATTCCGGAGAACATTTATTAAAATTCTTGAAAACATATATAAAAATTTTCAAGAACACTTATCAAAATTTGGTGCAATATTTTTCCTGTCACAATATGAATATAGAAGATCATTTTTCTTGCTATCATTTTCCATTCAAATAATTTTATTAAAATAAAAAAATTATTAAAGCCAAAGACCAACTACTAAAATTCACTCCAAAACAATAGCATAACTAAATTTCTTGAAATACAATATACAAGAATGGTTTAACGTTTACTTTTTAATATAAATATAAACATTTAATAATAGCATGATTAATGAATGATTACCTAAACCATATGCTTGTGTAAAAAAAAGTCCAACTCCAACTAACTTGAACATTTTTTTAACTTTATGATATTTTTCAGAACATTTTATTCAAAAAATCTTGTATATTACCTTAATTTTTATTGTAAATATATACATATATATATATATATATATATATATATATATATATATATATATATATATATATATATATATATATATATATACATATATATATATATATATATATATATATATATATATATATATATATATATATATATATATATATATATATATATATATATATATATATATATATATATATATATATATATATATATATATATATATATATATATATATATATATATATATATATATATATATATATATATATATATATATATATATATATATATATATATATATATATATATATATATGTATATATATATGAGTAAATCTTAACTCTCAGAAAAAAAAAGAAATATTTTAACCTCATTAACAATATACTGAAGCAACTCAATAGGCTATAAAAAAAATATATACATAGTAAAAATTAGTTATAAATCCTTTTGGCAATATTGCCCCAAACCCAATTACATCTGAAGTTATGCTTATTAAATAAAATCACATAAAAAGCATCAAACTTAACTGAAAATGATAAAAATGAAAATGACAAATTATCTTACTCACTGGTACTATGCAGTGCTGTGAATCAGTCTAAAACATAGCATAAATGTCTTACATATTGTGGTGAAGAAACTTTGGTAAAAACTACTTAATATACAAAATACATTTTAATTTTACATTTTACTTGTCAAATGTGCCAAATCAACTTACCAATGGGTATGGAAACATTCCAGTAGACATCTATAAAAAAAGATTACCTAGTGGATAATTTCTATTGAAACCTATAAATAAGTACAGTATTGAAGTTTGCAACAAAACAAAAAAAAGAAATACTACATTAAACATTTGTTATACCTCAATAAGAGACAGGCCTAAACTCCACACATCTGAATGTATTCCATATTCATCACCCATAATTCTTTCTGGCTAAAAATCAAATGTTGAAAAAGACATGCTTTTAAAAAATATAATAACTCATTTAAAAAATAAATTAAATCAGGTATTAATGAAGATAAATTATGTATCTAAATATTTAGAACTTCAAGTTTCATGATATTCTACATCTATTCAGCATTATTATTTAAAAAATTCATAAATAAAAACTGTTTTAAAAATACACATTTTTTTTCAATTCAGTTTGATTTTATTGCAAAAGTCAAATTATACATACACTAATGCAAGACATCAAACATACATTATTTATCTGAAGATAAATACAATAAATTGCTGACAAACGCCACCATAGCTAGTCATAAAAAAAGATGATCCACCACCACCACAGCTAGTAATAAGAAAAGGTGATCCAACACCACCGCAGTTAGTCATAAAAAAAGGTGATCCAATAATAAAATTAATAAGAAAGGAAAAATTATTCTTTGATGATGTTTATAACTGTTTCATTACATTGACCATAAACATAACTTTTTAAATAATTCTCTTGGTTTTAGTAAGTGACCAGGATTGATATTTGACCAGGGCAGGGTTTAATAAAATATAGCTGCGACTGAGGCCGAGTTTGTGAGCAGGGCTGCATAAACATTTATACATCCTAAAGTATTTTTTTTTTATTCAAAACTAATGTTATATTTTGTATACATATGCATATATAAACATCATTATGATTCGAGATGATCATCATAATCATTATTACAAACATCATCATCATGACAACATGACCATCATCATAATCATGATCATCATCATCATCAGGCTTTACCCTTCTTCTTTTATGCTGTTTTTCTAATATAAACAATCTAGAGCATTATTATTTTTTAACTCAAGCTCATTCATACAAAATGTAAGGCACTCTCTCCAACTATCTCCATGCTGATACCTAATCACTTAAATCTATTCTAACAAAAGCTGTTCGATACAACATTTATTTCTAAACTGTATCTATGACTTTGCCTCTTTTTTTGTCTTGCTAGACATACCACACATACCACACATCCATCTGATCATCTACACTTTCAGCAAATACTACACCATATAAATACTAAAGTTAATATAAATATAAAAAGATAATGTATACCAGCATTTAAATAAATAGCAAATATATATGTTTATATCTATAATTCGTATGCATAAAGCACATCTTGGAGCTTTCAAGCTTTTATTCCTTCTGGAATAATAGCTTAAAAACTTTTATTCCTGCTGGAATATTTCAAGCTTTTATTCCTTCTCTTCAATTTTAAGTCAAGTTTCATTCTTCTCCACATTTTTCAACATCATAAGCAGTTGCTTTATTAAATATTAATCTTTTTTTTTAATCTTCTTTACAAGAACATCTCTCTGAAAAAAATGTCCTTTTTTTATTCCAAGAAGCCAATGTAAAAAGGTACTGTGTGATGTTAAACTCTGTTATTTTCAGTTTACTAAACCTTCTATCTTATCTCAGATGTTAGGTTCTGGACACCTTTGGTTAGTCTTCAACAGTGCCATTAACTAAAGTAAGTCTAACATTCAATCTTTAATTATGGGTCTGATCTTTTTACTTCTCCCCAGAATAAGGCGTAATAAGGAGTTATTTGCAAAGAAATCTTGCTCTTATTTAATTTTTGAATCTAAAGCCCATACTCTTCCTGCCAGTTAAACAGATTAACCCATTGTTAAACATCAAAATCACTCTGATTCCAATACTAAAGTTAATTCTCAATAAAACGCTTCTACAGTTTGTGCTCCAGACATGATTTCCATAATAGTCTTAAAAAAGTGTTTTATAGAACTCTCTTCAATTTTGCTAAACTTTTAAAAAGTGCTAAATAAGTGGTTCCAATATTTCAAAACTCAAGAAAACACTTTGACCTCTCCAACTATCCTATGATTAGTCTTCACTCTGTTATTAGCTTTGTTAAATAAAGGTTTTGAGATTATTAAACTATTTCTTTTTAACTGTGGTATTAAAGTTATTCTTGAAGGCCTACATTTCTTTATTTCCAGTAACTACTTTATTTCAAGTAACTTTAAAGGTACCACAAAGTTCTATCTTTGCTCCTGTATTGTTTCTTCTCTGCAATAAAGATCTTCATGAAAATTTTACATCAAAAGTGGCTCTATTTGCTGACAACTCAACTTTATACTATTGTTTTGACAATCTTCTTAACTTTGTTGATTGCTTAGAACAAGCAGCCAATTTTAATCTGATCTTTCTTTTGTAACAGCCTAAAGCTTGCAGTGGCTTTAACAGCCTAAAGCTTGCAGTGGATTTAAATTCTAAACCCACAATTTTTGTTAAACAACAAAACTCCTTTATTTACTGCAAAAAAATATTGCAATATTGTTGGCATTCCGATATTGACAAATAACAACCCTCTTACTCTCAGACAAGGTCTAAAAGCACATTGTAAATGTAATTAGACCTGTTTTATCTGCCAAGCTTGAACCGCTCTTCACTTGTTGTAAGGTTGCATATCTTTCTTTTTTCTACAAATACTATTATGTTCAATGCTCAAACGAGCTATCATCGCTATTATGATAAACCAAAACTCATTGTTGCTTAGCTTCTTATTTAACAAGTTGCATCCTTTTACTGTATCTGTCACTTCATGCTATAAAAACTTTTATTATTCCAGTTTTTTTCCTTGCACTTCAAAAAAATCTAACAACTTTTACCCATCTTCATAATTTTCTTTTTTATACAACCTACAACTTTTCAAGTCTTCCATTAACATTTTCCTAATTTTTTAACCCTATCCTCTATTTTAAAGTAACTCATAACTTAATAGTGGTTGCTTGCAATCTTGTTGGAAGTAAATTAGAGTTTAAAAATGTATAAATACATGCCAGTATTAAATAAATAGTAAATGTAAGAATAAAATTATAATATATAAAGTATTATTAATTTTTTTTAGCCCGAGCCACCAACCCACGCTAAATGTCATAATTTCGCTTTGAAAAGTCTCATTTTCAGCCAGGGCCGGGGCCCTGGTCACTTCCTACTTGGTTTGTCTTATAAAACCTGCAAATAACCAAATTGGCAGAAAAATCAACACCTTTAATCAGATGTACACATCAAACAATAATCATATGTTTAAACTAATGAAGTAAAACACAGGAGATAATAAATTGGTTCAAAAAAATAAAACATTTTTTTAAAACTGATTATAAGTAAAAAGCTCCTTATTGACTATTTGCTTTGCTAAACAGTATGTTGCTTTTGTAAAAGAGAATAATTGCACATAGGTCTGTATTATTTAATAATAACATGTACATAGGTCTCTATTATTTAATAATGTTGAAATTTGAATTAAAAAACCATACGGTTTTTTTGATGTCACTATATGAGCGTTTGATGGTGCTGAGGTATGTGAGCTGGTTGGAAATTTCTTTCTTTTTCAAATTCTCAATTGAAAAAAAATGTGACTTTAAGCTGTATATAGGTGATGGTTTGTTTAAAAGTGCTAGTTATCCTCAAATAGAAAAAAATTAAAAAAACAAATAACTCAGATATTTAAAATCAACAACCTCAGTATTTCCAGTCAATACAATATAAAAATCCTTATTTATCTTGACTTTAAACTATAATGACTGCAGTTTCCAACCTTAACACAAACCTGAAAGTATGTTAAATTACATCCATGCTAGTTCCAAACAAACACCAAATATTTTAAAGCAGTTAATCAAGTTAACACTTCCAGGGTAATAATTTAAAAAAAATGCACCTATTTATAAAGAAGCATAGTATTATTAAAATTACACATCTTGTACACCACCTAATGTTAATTACTCAAAAAAATATTTGATTAATTTTAGCGAAAATCTCATTTAAGCGTAGGTATGCAAACCAAACCATGTCAAGTCTTTCAATTTAGTCAACTTTAAAAATGGCATTGAACTTTCATTATTAAAACATGCTAATCTATAATCAAGATGTTATTTATCCTCAAAATATAAAGATAAAGAACATTTTTTTTGTTTAGAAAGAAATTTTTACTTTTGAATTTTGATACCAGTTAGACTAGTTCTCGCTTAACGTAAAAACTGACATTAGATCTTGTTGTAAAGCTTTTCATAATTTTCTTATTGTGTTTTTCAAGTTATATGGCTAAATGATTACATAATTATAACTTGAAATTTAAATAAATAATATGGTTTATTGAATATTCAATGATTATCAAATGACCACTTGAAATTCCATGAAAAACATTATATTTATTTCATTTAAATTATTTTAATATAACATGATTTATTTTTTGAAAAAATGGATCACTTTTAAACCAGTAAGAGGTATATTACTTCTAACATAATACAACATAATTATATCAATATATATATAATATTTGATAATTACTTTGATAATAAAATACTAACTGCCATGTATGCATTTGTACCAACATATGTTTTTGCAATAGAATTAACCAACTAATATAAAATAATAATAAAAGTTTATATTATTATATAAATATTTCCAACTTTGCTTTAAATAAAATAGTAGAAAATACATACTTGTATACTGACACCAAAGTCACATAATTTCACTTGACCTTTTGAATTTACTAAAATATTACTGGGTTTTACATCTAAAAAAAATAATCTATTAAACAACTTGTGTTGTTAATAACAACAAAGATAATTTTATAACACATGTTATAAAATTATCTTTGTTTTACATGTTACAGCTAACAATTTATATACCTCTGTGCATTATCTTCAGACTCAAAAGATATTGTAGCCCCTTCACAATCTTAAATTGGAATGAAAATATATTTACACTTTAAAATAAAGTACCTAAATTACATATTTGATAATATATGTATAAAAAAGCATCTACCATTACAACAATGCCTGCCAAAACATGTGAAGGTATTTGTCCATAGTTATCTAAAGAACTCCTATCCATGTATTCTGTACACATTGAAATTTTGTTTTCTGTAAAAAAAGCCCCATAGAAAGAAATAATGTAAGGTGAGTTGCATTGAAAAAGAATATCCATTTCTGAAAGAATCTGGCGTTGAACTTCCAAAGTAATATCCAATGATATAACCTATTGTATAAACTTTAATAACTTATTTAAACATATCAAAGTTTTCAACATTACCTTTTAAACGTTTTCCTTTATTCTTATTCTTATTATTCTTAATATTATTATTATTGCTATTTTTGAAAATGGTTGTAAATGTAAAACACAAACAAAAAATTAAAAAGTAAAAGTAAAGTAAAAGTAAAGACTCCAAAAAAAAAAAAAAGTAAAAAGTTCTGAGTTTCAAAATTCTGAGTAAAAAGTTTAATTGTCATTATTTTTTCTTAGGTCTGCTATTTTGTTCTTTTTAAAGGTTGTACTTGTTTGTATTTTTTTAAAGAATGACTGTGAATTTTATTGTTTTTACATTTTTTTGGCAGGTAATATTATAAATAATAATCATATTTAATATGGAGAAATGTGACATTCGAAAAAGTCTTGACATTCATTGCCACAAAACTGGATTTTCTAGAAAACAGGGTTTTGTTCAATTCAAAGATCTCTCTTGTAAAAAACAAGAAATAATATGGCACAAATTTAAAGAAAGAATATTGTTCAATAAAAATTATATGTTGTTATCATGAACAATTCTATGGAAAATATTTTGAGAGAAAAATTACAAAGTGTTACAATCCTTTTGGAACACACAAGGAAAGTAAAAAATTGCTATAAAAGGTAATAAACAAGGCAAGGGGGGGGGTTAGAATAAAAGAAGGAGGGGGATTTACACTAAAAGTTTTATTATTTATCACTTACTAGTATATAATTTTTTAATTTTTAAGGCCAATTTTCACTGAATTTTTTTTTTTAGTTTTTAGATATAAATTTTTTGTTGATAACAAGTAAAAATTAATAAATTGGGGAGGGGGATCTTAACAAGGTTAGAGTGTGTGAGAAAATTTCCCTAAAATAAATAAAAGTCTTCCCCCCTCCTTCTGTTAAGGAGTCAAGAGTATAAAAATAGGCCCTTATTGCTATTTAAAATTATGTATATACAAAAAATGCAATATTTTAACGCTAAATAAACTAAAAGTTAAATAAAATGAACACTAGGCAAGAAAGCTCAAAGACAAAGGTGGAGCATTTTATAAAAAAAATCTTGTTATAGAATAATTTAGTTTATTTGTATGAGTCAGTTTATTTTTTGAAGTGAAATGTGGAATATACTTTCTAGACAAAAGTTTTGCTCTTATATATCCATATCTTCTCATCTCTCCAAATGCAGATACTGCTGCTTCTCCAAATGCAGATACTGCTGCTTCTGTAACCAATTTAACATGTCTTTCTACACTTTGAGAATGGCATGGAAAGTCATCTAGTATCAATTTTAGCATATTTTTTATAGCACTATCAATTAAATCGTCGCTTAAATCTTTCAACATAGGTGGTAAAGCCCTTGGATGTTCTTCCCAATTTACAAGATTGTGATAGTCAACTGCATCAAAGTTTAGATTTTTGAACTTTTTTACTTTTGAAGAATTCATAGCTGTGTTTTGTCTTGCAAGTTTAATTCTTTTAGCTGCCAGATCTCTAATTTCTATTCGTTCATCAACCAACAATGATAGCAAAATACGCATTTCTCTGAATACATTTATCAACTACTAGTCTTTCACTTTCCAAAAGAAAATGAGAGAACTGAATTAGGCACCACAAGTGTTTTGCCCCTATATAGCATTGGGGTTCCAATTTTTTGGAAAATCACACTGGAGCATAAACTTGAAGAATGTAATCAGTAAGGATGACAAGCTTTAATCAGTAAGGATGACAAGCTTTAATTTAATAAAAAATTGAAGAATGTAATCAGTAAGGATGACACTTTAGACGGAAGAGTGCTGGCAACATACAAACAAAGTATACGATTTGCTGTTGTCAGCCATAGAGAATGAACTAATGGACCAGGCTCTTTTTTTCCAGGCTTTTTGTCACCTTACCTAATTCTATTGCCATACACATTTTATAAAGATACTGTTGATCTTTGCTAATGTTATTTGTCACAACCTCATTTAAAGCATTTGGTAAATTATTCTACCTTGATTCAAATTTAACAATTAACAATTTATTACACTTTGCGAGTGCTTTCCCAATGTTACCACTGAACAGAGTATGTCAAGAAGTGGTGCCTTCTAAATGGAAAATTAAATGCCTCACTGGTAATTCATTAAAATGAAACATATATACTAACCATTGAACTTGATGTCCTAAATGCAGTTCCAGTAATCTTACTCCACCTTTGTTCACGCCAGTATTTACGTTAGTTCCATCAGTGTCAGCGGTTAACACATTATCAAGGAATATTTTATTTTTTGTGAAAAAAATCTACAATAGCGTCTTTGATATTTGCCGATGATCCACTTGAAGGAGAAACGTGACCAAGAAAAATGGATTGAGGTTCTTCTAATAGAATAATATGTTCCTCAGTGATTAAGGTTTTACTGCTAGTCGTTAAGTTGTTAAGAGTTTTATTATTTCGACCATCAAAGAAAATTGATTTTGGGCCTACTGAACACATAGCTAATTTATATTATAACCCTGACGGATTATAAAATTTAATATTGATAAGTTTTTGTTTATGGACAATATAAGCTAGATGAAAAAAAATAAGCTTATTCTTTTAATTTGCCACTAGAAGATCTTATATTGCCATATTTTAGCATTTTAGAGTTTTTTTTAATGCAGTTAAATTATTTAATAATTTCAATGAAAAAATTATTTTGAATAGAAAAAAATTGTCATCAATAGATGGTATAAGTTATAAAAGGAAAATAAATTATGGCTATTGTTGCCAATTGGCTTCCTAATTGTGCATTCTTAGGTTTTTTTTATTGTTATTCAAATACCCATAAAAAGCCTAAAAATAATTATTTTATCATAACTTCTTGAGTAGATTTAGAAACCATTTTTTGACTTTTCATTCTGTAAACAATAGCTTACTGAATGTTAAAACATATGAGGGTAGTTAGAAAATGCTTTATAACTACTTAGTAATTATAAAGTGGTTTCAAACCGTCATGTATGATGCAAATAATAAATTATTATTATTATTATTTTTAAATTATTTTAATTGTTTAGCAAAAGCAGCAGCAAAATCTTTGCACAACATTTTGAAAAAGATTCTTAAACAAAAAGGTGAGCTGAAGACTTCAGCAGTATCAATTGCCAAGCAGGAAAGTCAGGGTTAGGGTTAGGGTTAGGGTTCGGGTTATAACGAAAATTAATGATTTCGTTATAAAAATTAAACTTTGCTAAAGACACAATTTTCAAACACAAATTTTGTTCAAGTATTAGAAAGACAATGAATCTAATTTTTTTTAGTAGACCTAAGATAAAATGATATACAATTAAACTTTTTACAGAGGATTTTGGACCACAGTCTTAATTTTACCTCTAAAAATCATGAATTTACAAGTCAATAATTTTGAACAATACTGGATAAATGAGGCATTTTCTGAAACAATTGAGTCTTAAGGGTGCTATTTTTGGATTCCTCAAGCAAAAATCTATTGGGGTACCAAATTTTAGAAAATTTTTCCAAGCCATTATGAAGATACTATATGTCAAAGTAGGTTTGTAGTTGCTTCAGATAATCATTAAAATGCTTGAGTCAGCATTATTTCAACTAATGATTTCTCTGGAGCCCATGTGTATTTTTAACTAAAATTTTGGCAGTTATTATTTTTTTAATATGGACTGCAAGTGAGGTAAAAATAAACAAATTTTGAAACGTAAGGGTGTCAAAAATATACAAGCTCACTCTGTTGCCAGTTCACATTAAGATATTTGTATATATGCATGTTTGCTTGTTAAAATGCACATAACAACTTTGTAATTTAAATGCACTTTTCACCCTTTTAAAAAAATTTTTTTTTTTTAAAAAAACACACCTTCACAGCTAAGGTTTTTTTCAATGCAGTGTGAAATGCTCTAAAAAAAAAAAAGTAAATTTGTCAAATATTAACTAAAGATAATATTGCAAATTAATAATCCATTTTGAAGTTAAAAACAGTTAATTAAAATTTAAAAAAATTCAATGTAAAATATATCTATATTCGTCCATCTACTTGTGAACAGTGCCTCCATTTCCATGACCAATGACATGTAGGAATTGAAGATCTTCCTGTAATATCTGAAGCAAATTTAAATTTTAAGTTACTAAGCAACCAATATGAACAGGGTTAATTGGATTTAAAAAGAAAAAGAAAAAAATTCAATCTACATTTTCACAACTGAGAATTGTTTCAACTCCTTCAGAACATTTTCGGCTAAAAATACGTAATCATAATCAACATATAATATATTCCATATAATATATAACATATATTCCATCATATAATAAGAATTTGTAAAATGATTGATAAATACCTGCTGTGTGAAGCAGTTTTTGAATAATTTGTGTTGGTATGCAATGGTGTATTGACATCAACCTGAAAACAAAATTTCACTTTGTCAAGAATTTTGTAATTTCATAAGAAAATCATAAAATTTAAATTGTTAGAATGCACAACGTCATAAATTCACATGTTTGATTAATAATTTCTTGTTTTTTTAAATAATTAAAATGTGGTAGTTCCGAAACTGTTAGTAAAAGAAAAAAATTCTGATGTGTGGTTTGATTTATAAAGATCCCATTAAAAGTTTTTTTCCCAGAAAAAAAAGAAACTTTTTAAATAATTTTTTTTTTTTTTTTCTAATGGGAATTGCCATACAAATTTTATCTTTTTAATTTTTGTGCATTTTTGAAAAACATAAGGAAAAGTAATTTTTGGGCAGCTGCTTACCTTGTGTCAATCAGAAATTGCTAGAAATAGAAAATAATATTTGGTTAGTTAAAAAAAATATTAATAAAAATTATAAACAAAATAATAAGCAATAAAAATAAATAATAAAAATTAATAAAATATTAATAGAAAATAAAAAAATAAAATATTAGGTTAGACTAAAATATTAGGTTAGACTAAAATATTAGGTTAATTAAAATAAATAATAAAATAAAATAGACTAAAAAACTAGGCTAAAAAAAACCTGAAATAGGCCTAAAATGCCTGCAAAACTACCAAAGAAAAGCTTTCATTTTAGTTTTTATTTCATGGCCAAAAATGTAAAATTGAATTAATTTAAAAAAATAATTATGATTATATTTTTTGAAATTTTTGTTTTGTTTTTATTTTAGATATATGAGAACTGCTTTGCCAAAATAAAATAAAATTTATTTTAAATATGTTTTTGAAAGAAATACACTGAAAAGAAATATTCAGATATTGTTAGCTCCTTGGCTATCAGAGATTTTTTTTTTTTTTTTTTTTTTAAGCATCTTCGCTTCCAACAAGGTTGCAAGCAACCACTAATTTATGTTGGAAGTTACTGGAAGAGAAAAGATGAAGATTGTAAAGCAAGATAACGATTGACAGACGACTTAAAAGATTGCAAATTATATGAATCAGGAAAGCAAGATGAAGGAAGTGAATTCCATAGAACTGATGTTCGAGGAAAAAAACTAGATGAATAAGAGTTTTTGGAGCACTTAGGAACAGTAACAGAAAAAGGATGGGACTTAATTGAATGACGAGTAACACGAGAGTGAATTTTAGTAGATGGCACAAGAGACGCTAGCTCTTTAGAATAGTGCCCATTATAGTATTTGTAGAAAAGAGAAAGAGAAGCAACATTACGACGATGTGACAGAGGTTGAAGTTTGGCTACAAGAGCAGGTCCAACTATGTTTAAAATGCGTTTTTGCACCTTGTCTAAAAGAGAAAGGGCATCATTAGAAGATCTGCCCCAGATATGGCAACAGTATTTCATACAAGGCCGGATTTGAGATTTATAGAGATAGAGAATAGAATCCAGAGTAAGAAAGTGTCGAGCTCGATAAAGAGAAGCAACTTTAGCAGATGCTAATTTTGCAATGGATTTTTTATAAGGTTTCCGAGAAAGATCAGAAGTAAGAGTTAATCCTAGAAGATGAAGGGTAGGAGACTCATCGAGTACATTACCGTTCATAAATATAGGAAGGTCTAAATTATTGTGATAACGATTGGCTGAAAAAAATTGAGTTTTATCTGAATTAAAGTTTACTAAAGAAGATTACTAGAAACTTCAGAAAAATTCTAAAATAGCCTTAAAATGAGGTCAGCAAAAGTTATGAAGCACTTTTTCAATAAAATACTCCATGTTCCTAAGTTTCATTGTGAGCTCAACCCTATAGAAATGTATTGCCCTTAACTCAAATGCTACTTTAGAAAGATCGATGATCAAAGTAATAATTGAGTGTTAATGAACTTTTTGAGTCGAAAAAAAAATACGAAAAAAGATAAATTTTAGGGTCAATTTTTTAGAATTGTAATTGATTATAAAGCATGAGTTATAATTGATTATAAAGATGAGTTATGAACTAAAAAAATATTTTAAATCTGGAGATAAAATAAAATCACATATGTAAATTACTTTAAATTTAAAATTATTCTAATTAAATTCAAATTTAAGCAAATGCTGAATTTTATTAGATTTACAGTTTAGATTTATGAAGTTTTACAGTTTCTTGGCGTTGAATATAATACTATTAACTATAATATTTTATTAAAAAAGTGCTTCATAACTACTTTTTTGGCACCATTGCCCTCATTTTAAAGCTATTTTAGAAATCTTTCAAAATTTCTAGTGGTCACTGAAAACCACAAGGCAAACAATATACAAAAATTAATTTTCAGTGCATTTATTCCAAAAATGTATTAAATCTTTTTAAATTTTTTGGTTAGTCAATTCTCATAGAACTAAAACAAAATTAAAAAAAAAAAAAACTAATTTTAATAAGCGTTTTGTTTTTTCTGGGAAAAAATTTTTTTTAATGGGCTCTCTCTTGGGTTCTTTATAAATCAAACCACACACCAGAAAATTCTTTATACCAACAGATTCGGAATGGAAAAATAAAAAAGTCATCAAATTTGTTCATCATGTGAATTTATGATGCTGTGTACTCTATAATAAAAAGCAATATTAAATGATAAATAAAGTAAAAAAAAGAAAAATATATAAATTAAAATTAATTAGAAAAAAATTTTAAAAAATTGAAATATCTCACTGTAAGACCCAAAGTATTTCTTCGAGTTGCTGTTTTACCCACTTATTCGAAAGAAAAAAAAACCATAAAAAAGTAACAACTATTTAAATATAATTAGATAATTAAAAATAAAATTAACAAAACATGATTATATAATTAAAATAACTTTTAAATACTGCAACGCAAATGAAAATAATAAACAATAAAAAAAGCTTAAACAAATTTTATGCAATCAATACTTGCTAAAAAAAATGATGAAGTTGAAGACATAATATATTTGTGTGCATTGTTTATATTGTCTTGTGCAATTTTTATATGTGCAATGTTTATATTCTTGTGTATTTTTATTATACTGTCATATCTGTCATTATAATGTCATATTCTTGTGGGTAAAAGTTTTGTTATATTATAAATTATAAAATGTTTGTATCGTGTGGTAGGCTGTTACGTTTTGTCAGTATATACTGTTTCTAACTTCCCCTGTCTGTACTTATGTATTAAATTTTTGTTTGAAAATTAATATTGACTTTTAAATATTATATAATTATTTTATTATTGTAATAATTGTCACTTAGTTTATTAATATTATTATTTTTAATATTATTATCATTGCTATTGGTATTTAAAATATGTCTTTTACTTATGATTAACTGTAAGTAAAAAACAAATACTAATCTATTGTTTAGTTTTTGTTAAGTTTTTGTTTGTTACTTTATGTCAGTTTGTAACTTTTCTTATTTGTGTATATAATATTCAGTTTTTTTCTTTTTTTTTTTTTCTTTTTTTTTTTTTTTTTTTTTTCACTTTTTTACTTTGCAAGAGTTTCTTGTATTGCTGCTGTTTAAATTTAAATATGTTAATACTTAACTTTTAATTTATTTTTTTTAGTTATTTGTTTTTGTTTAGTTTTTGTTAAGTTTTTGTTTGTTACTTTATGTCAGTTTGTAACTTTTCTTATTTGTGTATATAATATTCAGTTTTTGTTTAGAAATCTATTAATGATTTATCTTTATTATAATTTTTTTTTTTTTTTTTTATTATCATGTTGATAATTTTCCATTATTAACATTATTATAGTTATCATTATTATTCTTCTTATCATTACCACTGTTACTTATATTGTTATTACTGTTTTTATTATTATTATTATTATTATTATTTTTATTATTATTATTAATATTATTATTATTATTAATATTATTATTACTATTTGTATCATTAATATAACTTGATATCATTTTCATCAGGCTTTTACTTTAAATTAGTTTCAAACTATTTGTAAATGTCCTTAATTGTTAGACCTTAATCAGAAATATATGATTGATTTATAAAGGAGAATCAGGTAAGTTGGGCCCCAGTATTGTTGAATGAACACAGAAAGTCGCTGCTTAGGAACAAATTTTTCAAACCTAATAAAGTCGATATCAATAGAAATCTAATTAATTGAGTTAAAAATGATGTTAGAGCCAATGTTGTTAATTTTATCAACAAGCTTTTTAATAGAGAATTGGATATTGGATATGGAGTTGGAAAGAGTTCTAACAAGACTGAAAACAATTCGATTGAGAGCTAACAGAACTCAAATTAAAAAGATAAAAAGCAAGAAACTGATTGATAAAAGAATTGTATGCGTCAAAAAAACATAACACAGAGAAAAACATCAGAGAAAAACATCAGAGAAAAACATCAGAGAATGCCAAAGTATTAATTCTTAAAGTAAAAGATAGAAGAATAAAAAAATTTCCAGCATAAAAAAATAAAGATACAAGATTGCTGAATGATAGGCGAGATGATTCTAAAAGATCTAAAAGAAATGAAGCATTATAAGAAGCACTAAAAACGTTTAAAAAAATTGGCAACACAGAAAATGCAATTCAAATTTAGAAATGAAAAATTGTAAATATTTTAAAATAAAATAGAAATTCCATTTATTTCAATAAAAACGATTAAACAAATATTAATAGTATTATATTGTAAGAGTTTTATATATTGTAATTATTGAACTAAAAAATATTTAATTTAGAATTATAAACTTTATTTTTATTATAAACTTTATAATAAATAATCAATAAAACAAATTATTATTAAAAACTGAACCAATAAAAATTAACCTTTTGGATATATAGTCATATAATAAAGTCCATTTGTACTATTACACATATGGTTATAACAGTGTTGGTTCTAAACATGAAAAAATAAGCTATTTAATTTACATAGGTTGATCGTCATTTTGAAAACCAAAACTTTTCACATGAAAAAAAAGGCCTTTAGTACAACAATTGAACCAAACTCTTTTTTGTTATGTGTAACTAGGATACTACATTGCATTAAGATTTTGATAAATTTTGCTTATTTACAAAAAAAATAAAGATATATAGATAATAAAAACAAGCAAATAAAAAAAATCATTTTTTATATTACAAATAAATATTTGTTTACAAAAAAAGAAAAAAAGAAATTTGTGTCTTGATTACCCAATCAATCATAGCATTTAACTCTTCATCAGAGCGAACAGTTATTCGATCTCCATCTTCATCTTCATCTACATTTAAAAAATAAATCTTTCAATCAGTATAAAATCAATAAACCATAAAACTTAAGAGAAAAATTAAAATATTTTATCAGTTTAACTTTACAAAATACCTAGTGTTTTATAAATCAAAAAAATTTTGGTGTCAAATGCCAAATTTCACTTATTTTTATATTTAAGGGGATTATGACCATTGATAAGATTTAATCTAAAAACATTTAACATCAAAAAATTAGGAATTTAAGTTCCCACACAGGACATTTAAAAACTGAGCAAAGTGTTATACATGTAATTTTAAGCTTTTTCCAACTATTTTTTTTTCTTTCTCAGTGGGATTTACACAATATTTTTACTAAATGACTGAAGAATAATCTTACTTAAAAAAAAAAGTTGTCTGAAGAAAATTCACAAATGCCATCAACTTAATTATCAGAATGATTTTACAGTAAAGTAAAATGCAGGTTTTTTGAGTTGCTTTTTTTTAATGTAAAAAAATAGATAAATTTTAGTTTATTTTTAAATGATGATTTTTTAGCGTTGTTTTATGAATAACATATTTAAGTTCTTAAACATGTTATCTTAAAAATTTGAACATATGTACAGTGGTCCAGAAATGTCACTTTTGAGACAAAAATCATATCTTCGCCAATTTTGAAGCTAAAAAGCTAAAATTTTCGGTGAATGTTCATTATACCCTGGCCAACAATAAGTATCATTGTAATGTTGGTTGGTTGTAATGTTGGTTGGTTTGAACAACACACCAATAACACAAAACTAAGGACAAATAAAATAACGAATAATAAACATGTGATACGTATTTAATTTTCAACTTTCTATTAACTATAAATAGTCACTAGCATGTATGACACATTTTTGTTTGAATGAATAAATATTATACATGTGCAGAACACCATGAACAGATAGCGTCATAGTTTACGTTTAACATACTTATTTAAACATAATTATTTTTTTGGAATACCTTTTAACTAAATATTCTCTGGAAGACAAACTACTTATTTATTACATCTTGATAGATTGCATAAACTTGTAGAGTAGCAAACCAAGGACAAAACTTAGATACAACATATGACACAAGGACAACACTGAGGACAAAAAGTAGACACAACAAACGACAAATGTTAATATGACAATATTTAAATTAATTTAATAATTTCCATAATTTATGGTACACTTACAAATATTGCAAATAATAACGTGTAGAATAAACAAACTCTAAAACAACACACTAAAGACACATGACATAACATGTGACATGCTTTTTACATTTACATTTATTTTTAGATCTATATGTTAAAACTTATTTCCATAATACTGATTTCAATAGTTTGACTTTCTGGTCAATTAATAAACAAAATCATCAAGGATACATATTTTATAATTACATTACATGAATATTCTATGCATATGAAAGCACAACAAGAACATACAACTACTTAAAAAGAACACATAATATTGGTTTCACAAAAAAAAAAAATAGTCTTTAATATTACTATTTTTTTTTTTTTTACTAAACTGAGCTATTTAAAATTACATAATTATAATAGGTTTAAGTTTTTAAAAAACAACAGTGAAACAGATGTCACATCCCTACTTAAAAAAAAATTAATATTGTAAAGATGCAGCTTTTTACAGATTTCTTTAAACAAAGTAAATCTATTTAAGACCCATATTATCAATACTATAATTAAGAATAAAATAAAGAATATAATTGTATTAAGAAAATTACAAAAGAAGGTCTAAACATTCTGCTGGAAAAGAAAGCTCCTTCTTTGATTCAGAATTTTGCCTCATAGAAATAATAAAGGAGTCTGATGAGCAGAACGATCTTCGCATTACACCTTCATTTATAATTTTTCTAAAAAAAATTTCTTGTAAAATGTTCTCAAAAATTTTTAACATTTTTGTTGCCACTTTCCTGGGCTTTTTCAGGTAAGAGGCCAATTAGAACTGGCTTGTCTCTTACAACCTGGTGTGAATGGACAATCATCTTGTGCACTCCAGCAGACATAGGATACCATTTAAAATGTGCTACATATGTCTTAAATGTATCTTTACAATATAATTTAAGTTTATCTGGATCAATTGGGTGCTTACAGGACAATATGTTTAAAATAAAATTCTTCAACTGAAACTGGCAATCTGTCCTCTTCATCTTTAGTTCTCTGTTTATAAAAACTATCCAGATGAACCAAATCCAACTGTGCTTATAAGAAGAAGAGTATTGGTAAGGCTTAGGTAGTTTTGATTTATCCATAACTTTCCAAATTGTGTTTATAGTATGATCCATTATTCCTTGAAGATTCAGAAGCACTGTAGTTTGATGTGACAATTCCAGAATCTATAATGCAATCACTTTTAACTTACAACATGCAACCTTTATCTAACGCTCCTTAACGGATAGTTTGATAATCAGTCCTACTCATTCTACAGTCTAACATTAAAGCTAAAGCTTCTTCTGCTGAATAACATTTAGAGCATGATATATTACAGGATCCATCAGTTTTACTTTCCATCAAATGTTTAAAACCCTTAGCATCTTTAAATTGTCCTTCTTTATTGAGAATAAAAATAGGGGCATGACTTTCAGTGTTAACACCTAATTTTTAAGTAATCTCTGAAGATCTTCTTTTCTTAGACCTTGTTTAGAGATCTTCAATAATTTTGAAGGTGCACCTAGTACATTTTTTATACTTGCTGCTGAGGTTTGTATACTTATATAACTTTGTATAACTTGCTTCTGAGGTTTGTATACAATAAATTCCATATTTAAACATTTCTCATAATGATTTATAAACCTTCCTTTTTGTCTACCTGTCTTGTTCCATTTCTTTTTAAAGTTTTTCATAACTTTTTCAGTTAATCTCAAATGATTGTAGGTTCAATAACATAGAGAAATCAATATACAAACTTATTTTTCTTCCTAACTTATTAAACCTTCATATTTATTCTCATACTTTCCTTTAATTAAGTAATCAAAATTGTTTTTATTTCTCATATTTAAAATTAGTTTCACCACTAAATAACTATTGAAGTTTTGATTATTTTGTTTATTCCATCTTGCTTATTTGATTGTTTTATTTGTTTTGTTTGGTCCGCTTATATACTAGAATATTCCGCTATACATTATCACGGTTGAAACTCATTAAAAAATATCAAGAGTGAGAGGAGGAGCCGCATTTTTGGACTGACCCTATAGATACAAAAGCAAACAAAAGCAGCCAAAACTTTTCCAAAAATTTTCTATAAACAACATATTTTCAAACCCAAAAAATTTCAAGGTGGGCAAACCTCGGCAAAAATTTTCCTGGTTGATGAAAACGTTTCTAGTTGTTTTATTTTCAAACAATTTATAATAAAAAAGTGTTAAACATACGGTTAATTGTGCCTTTTTAAAAACATGAATTTCTTCAATTTTTGAACTTCAAACTCTCCCTAGACAATTTTTTTTTAAATTACGGACCTTAAAAATTTAAATCTGGTTTTAACATAACATATTTTATTTAATTTTTCAATTGTTTTTATTATAAAACAAATTTTTTTTGTATTTATGGCATGGTACTGGACCACTGTGATATGGTTAACAATTTAAACATATACTAAACAATAAAGATTTAAATAATATATGAACAGCTTAGTTTGTTATAGTATTATAAACTGTTATATATATATATATATAAATATATATATATATATATATATATATATATATATATATATATATATATATATATATATATATATATATATATATATATATATATATATATATATAAAATAAAAAACATGTATATGTTATAGTATTATAAACTGTTATATATATATATATATATATATATATATAATATATATACAACAGTTTATAATACTATAACATATATATATTTTTTATTTTATATATATATATATACATATATATATATATATATATATATATATATATATATATATATATATATATATATATATATATATATATATATATATATTGTTATTCTATTATAAAAACTTATTTTTTATATTATTATAAACTGAAGTGTATAAAACTTACACTCAAATGAATTTGGTTTGGCTTCACCACATGCTTTCATAAAGTCCTCTAACACATTCTATACAAAAACTTTCTGTTGTTATATTATTAAAGACTGTTATTAATTAAAAACTAATCCAAATATGTAAAAATTAATCTGACTTTAAATTTAATGCCTAACTGTATTTTTACTTACAAATCAATTTATTAATAAATATGCATGACAAAATCAGGGTGGCCAACTAAATTCAAAATTCAAAATTTTAGAACATTTCCAGGACTTTAATAGAAATTTTTGTGTTACTCAAAGACAAACTTGGATTGCATGTGTAATTATTTTTAATGATCATATTGATCATTACAAAATGATTTATTAAACATTTTTATTTAACTTATCTTTTTTTTTAAAGTTTTCTTAGTTGAAGTTCAAGCTGATCATCTTCTAAAGGAATTGTTGATCAACTTAAAGCTGTGTTTCTAAAAGGAACTACTGTTTAACTTTCTAAAGGAATTTGTTTTAGCAATTTTATCTACCTTGAGCTGATTCTTTTTTTTTTTTTTAATTCAACACTGCATTTTACCAATTATATGCTTACTTACAACTTTTAAAATATCACTGGGAAGCTTATCAATAACAATGCATGATAAATGTAGTCATATATTTTTCTTTGAGAAACTTCTTTTGTAAATTTTTAACTAAAAACTGCTTGTTTACAATGAATTCTTGTTCTATTGCACATTGGTTATTATAATACACAGACTATTGCACATTGGTTATTATTATACACAGACTTTCCACAATGCTAAATTTAGAATTTTATGCAAATAATCACTAACAAGTTTTTTTTAGATTTTTATCAACAGAATCAGTTTACTAAATTTAGCTTCTCTTAATTAAACAACTGTTCATTGCAATAATGTTTTGATTCATCAGCATTATCAGTTGAAAGCCGTTTCAATTAATAGAACCTTTTAGCATGGATAATTTTTTTTTTTTTCAAATCACTAAGTAAAAATTCAATGGAAATCTTGTAGTTTTATCAATAATAGTATAACGATATGCTTGCATTCCTTATTAATTTCTATTTATCTTTTGCTTTACAATTAAAAAAACTTCAAAATCTGTTTCAGTGCTGTTTCAATTTAATTTTCTGCTAGCTGGTTACTTTCTCAATATTTGTTAAATATTTCAATGTTAAAATAATTAAATGTTGTTAAATATTTCTCAAGTTAAATACTTGTTAAGATGTTTTTTCTATTAAAATACTTGGTTTGAGATTCATTTCATCAAATTATGCAACTTTGTAATTTGTTACTATAAGAATGAAGTGAAGCTATTCTTTTTAAAAATGTTCTTTGCATTAGATGCAATACAAGTATTAGTCACAATACAAGTATTATGTATTCAAAATTTTATTTATATATTTTACTTTCTAAATAATACATTAATAACTGACTTTAAATATTTTTTGCATTCCAAAAAATTCCAATAAAATGCAATCTATGAAACAATAAAAACTCTGTAAAAGATGAAAACATAACAAACAATGAAATATTAAACTATTTTAGAAAATAAATTATGATTAAATTAATAATAAATTTTAAGACTAATTTTTATAGGATGTTTGTCCACTTTTCCAGAACATATCGAAAGTTTCCCAGGTTTTCAAGTACTGGCCACCCTGAATATATTTAAAAAATTGAGTAAATAAAATTTTTAAACAAACCAGCAGAGAGTGAAAACTGATTTTTTGTTCAACTCTAAATTCAGTTACATGTTGCTGCTGTGAAACCAAACGAAAGATTAAAGGTTGTTGCACTACATTTAAGTATGGCAAAGCACTTTCCATTTCTTCCATCCCTTCATTTGTGTAATATTTTTCTTATTTCAAAATGAAAAATAAAAATGCCTAAGTTAAACGTTTTTCCTAAAACAAGTTCGTATTTTTCAAGTACAAAGTTTTAAGAAATAATAATTAGACATTAAAGAATTTAAAAATTTTTAAAAACGAAAATTTTCTTTAAAGTATATATTTACTAAACAATATATATTTTACCGAACCACATTTTAAACACACGGAGGAAAAAATAACTTTTCAGTTGATATCTGAAAAAAGTTTTTTTTTTAAAACAAAAACTGTTTATAAATCTTTGTGCTTAGTGCAATTGTGTGAAATTGTGTAAGTTTTATTATATATAAAAAAAGACATCAATCTACAGGTTTGTGTAGAATAAAAATTGTAATAACAAAATATTGAGTTTATATATCTTGCACTTAAACTTTCAATGAAATATCAATAAAAAAAATATTTTGGAAGATTTCCAAATCTAAAATTTACATTATTATTTACACAAGCAAAAATTACTATAATGAGTATGTATGCAAAATTAATAACTTGTCTTAACTTTTAAGTTAAATAGTTTTTTGCAGTTTAAACAGTTTTAGGTCTATTTTGCAGACTTTTTTATAATCTATTGTGCAGACTGACTTAGTCAGTTTTTAGTTTACTGACAACTGTTACTGATAACTGAAGTTAAAAAAAAGTTAAAAGGGCATCATTTGAAGAGCAAGCCCAAAAATAACAGTATTCCATACAAGGACAAATAAGATATTCATAAGCAACCTTTATCAGATGCTAACACTGCAATCGATTAGATATGGAATCCAAGAAAAACTAATGAACTAAATTCAAGAAAATGTAAAGCAGAGGACTCAAAAGGTAACAATTTCCTAATTTGAAAAACCTTCTCGATTGCACCATATGACAAGAGCTTATCGAGAAGACCAGCATTCCAGATTTTATCAAAAACTATAGATCAGGAGGAATAGTCCTTGCCTCACTGCTTTTATCTAATGTACAATAAAAACTTGCTGTTATTATGGTTAATATATTAACTTAGCAGCAAAACAAGAGAATTGTTTTTATTGAAGAGAATAATAGCACAAGAGAATTGTTAGACTCAAAATAAGATAATAAAAAAGTTAAAATTAAAAACTTTGCTAATAATCTTTGCTAATAATAATAAGAACAATAACAATATGTATAAGAGTATAATAGTAATAGTATTAATAAGAATATAAAATAGAAAATAAATTAATAATAATAAAAAGATTAGACAGTAGTTAGTAGGGTAAAAGCAGTCCAAAGTTTAAAAAAATTGAATGCAACACAAATGCCTTATTTCAACAGGTAGAAAAACTAGCCTCACTTGTTGAATAGTTGAGAATATTGAAGTGAGTTTTAGAAAACACTTTTGTAAATTCTTGACAGGAATATTGTCCAGACCACAAGTTGTTGAAATAACTTTAGTAATGAAAGCTGGGGTGATTAGAATGTTTAAAAATGTTTATCCCGTTTCTCTAAAATGACAAAAATTGAAGTTACTAAACTTAAAAGATGAATTAAAGGAAAAGTTTACAAAAGTTTAAAATTAAACTAAGGCTTAATTTAAAACTGATGAGAAGGAGTAAAATCCTTAATACTTAATTCTAAGAGATTATAAATGAGGCTAATTTTCAGCACAAAAGCCTCAAGATCATTGTGAAGAAAATCATGAAAGAAATCCTATCATCTTTAAGGTATATTAAAAACTTCAATGATACAACCAATCTGACAAAGAAAAGGTACAAGATAAAAGTTTTAGTAAAATCATAGTTTAGTCATAACCACCAAAAGGAAAAGAAAGAAGAACTGAGCACAAGGCTCAAAGACAAGAATAAAGGTGTGCATGACACTGTGAGCAATAAGCTATACAGCATCTTAGTCCTGTTAGCAAATTTAAAGTTGATATAAAGGGCTCCTTATATGGCCTTAATAATGCATAAAACATAACGCTGTTAATACTTTGATATTTTACAGTTGTTGAAATAAGACAGCAGAACATGTGACAGTTTGTACTGAATTAAGAGCTGCTATTAGCAGGATGCTAAATGTTACCAGCTGTATCACTTTTTGAAAAAGTAAAAACAATACAGCTGATTAGAATGCATTCAACTGAATAACAATAGCTTTATTACAAATGTGTATCTATTTAAGCTCAATTAACCTTTGTATATGTGTTTTAGTAAACTAGCGGTAAAACAGTTTACTTAAATTTAAGAGTTTTGGGTTTTAATTCTATCCTGTCTCTGGAAGTACTACACTTAACTTGTATTTCCATGCAGCAGCTTTGTTTAACAAAACTTGTGTTTCAAAGTTTAGAGTTGAGAAAGTAAATACTGAAAAATCAAAAAAAGAGTACCCTCCTAGATTTTGCTTCTCCTCCTCTGCAGCCTCCCCTTTTGATAACTTGGGGGGGGAGGGTAAACATAATTTTAAAATATTTTGTTTCATATATATCTTAACTATTTACAATTAGTAAATTAAAATTTAAAAATAACTGAAATTTTTTTTTTGAATAATTGAAACTTATAGGTATTTTATTTCATATTTATATTTCTTTAGGCCATTTAATAATAACAGAACATATGGAACTTCATCATAACATAAATACAAGCTGTCAAAGGATTAAAACCTATAGGGAAAAATAAGGATACTAGGATATGAATTGAAGGAAAACTGAATAAAGTTTAAACTATGCAAATTTCAAACTGAAAAAAAAAAGAAATGCCAAAAGAAAGAAAATATTTCACAAAAAGATGTTGTAAAATTTATAGCTCAAAAAATTTACGACATTTAAATTAAAAAAAAAATAAAAACTCCAGTTGCTGACAATCAAAACATTGTTCAAATAATCCACAAGACATTATGAATGGAAACGCAGGAACCCTAAGAAGACTATTATTCTGTTCTTAGATGTCATACTTAGAGAAACAAAATACCTCATTATGGGATGTTTACAGAATATCTTAGGACATTAAGAACCGAGTAATAGATGTACAACAGCACAGGATCAATCAGATTGACAACAGTACATGATCTATACATCAAGATTTAAAATTTTTTAAAACCCTTTTCTAGTTTTTTCTTTGATGCTTTGGAGTTAAATACTTTGTAAAGGTGTGAAAAACTGGTGTGAAAAAAAAAGTTCCAAGCTCTTGAGTAATTTTGCCTCGGAAAATATAATTGCCCACAATTATTTCCACCAAATATTTTTTTCTAATCAACTTGGGTATCAAAAAAAGCCTAAAAGAATTTTGGAGTTTATTTTTAGAAAAACGCATCTTCTTCGAAAATGCTCCTGACAGTTTTCCTTCAATAAAAGCTAAAACCTTTATTTTTTTTTTAAATGTATTATTTTTTAAATACTTATTAAATTACCCTACATTTGATACCTTGATAAATTTTGTTAATATTAGGGGGCAATAAATTTTTTTAAAGACAAAACTACCAAACTAAAAAAACAATTTCTTTTCAAAAAAAAATTTTTTTCAAATTTTAAATACTGTTTCCCACAATTACAAAACTACTACTAAGTAGGCACGCTAAAAAAAAAAATGAATGTTCAGAGTTATCCATGCTCTCCTTATATAATTTTGTAGCACTTGTGTTGTTGCTAATCTTAAACTTGCTTTTGGTAACAATTTTTACAATTTGAACCTCTTGCTTTTGTCCCCCCTTACAATAGGAGCAGATTGTGTCTTTAATGTGTTAATAGACTCCTTTAAATCTTTTTTACAACAGCAGCAGAAAAACTTTTTATTACATCCTTAATAACTAAGAAATTAAAAATTTAAAAATTGCTTCAACTAGTTTTTATCAGTGTCTGAAATTTTTTAAAGCAAACAGTAATGACATTTCTTTAAAACTTGTGTGCTTTTTACTTTGAATTCTTTAAATACTAATCATTTAGACTATCAACTGTTTTTAACTAGCCTATTAGTTCCTTTCTCTCTTTCTTGGAATATCAGTAGGAAAACTTTATTTCATGCTCCTAACTTATTAGAAAATGAAGCTGCAAATCTTCAAAAATGAATATAACCACCTCCACAAATTTAAATGAGCTCCTTAAATATCTAAAGACATTCGTGTCTCAAGGATTTTTTCAATATGAAGAAGCGCATCAAAACATCCATTAGTGCTAGCTTATTCTGTGCCACAGAAAAGCACACACACACACACACACACACACACACACACACACAAAACTAAATTTAGTCACTACAAGTTGATTTATGTCTTTTATTAGCACTTAAATTGTAGCTATTTAAATTAGAATTAATGATGATCGGAAAACCGTCTGCAATATTAGACTGGAAATTTTTATTATATTGACTAAAAACGAGTATATACAGTTTATGCACAAAACATTAAAACACTTTAGGTAAAAAAAACAATGCTTACAACTAAGTCTTAGTTGTAATTTTTTAATTGTCTAAGAAAATAACAGATAAATCATAAAATTCTTACATCAAAAAAATGCTCAATAAAGGTGCGCGCATTTTAGTTAACTTTGAAAAAAGTTTTTTTCAAACCTCTCTACTTTTTTTAATTACAAATAGATTTTTAGATTCTTGTTTTTATTTTTAATCGTATCTTTATGACAATTTATTTTTTCAGCAATATTCGAATTTCTAAATACAAACAAATTAGTATTCGGACGTACTTGGTACACTTCTTATTTTGAGAAGACGGTTTTTTTCTTTTTCTAAAATTATATATAATTTTAGTTATATATAAGTTATATATAACTCAAAATACTTGAATTTTTTTTTGAGCACCAAAATATATATAGATGAGAACTAAAATCTAATTATAATTTTTTTTTTTTAATTAATCTTCCTCAACCAGGCCCAGCTAGCACACCTATGTTGGGGTAGCGTATGTTACATCCCGAACTTCGGCTGTTTTCTCCGATGAAAATACATCGTTGATCTAATTTTAGTTTTATCGTATTTATATGAATGAAAACCTTAACAACGACGTGATTAAAAATAGTTAAGAAAATTAAATTTGGTATGTAATTGTAAAATCAT